CGATTTATGTGCAGGCGGGCACCGGAAAAATAGTTCGCTGAATTCTTGCGGTCCGCTTGCAGATACTTGTATGAATGTTGGCGAAATTTTAGACATATTCTCGGAGAACAAATGCGGATTTTTCGTGGATCAGTGGCGGCGCAATGGCCGCATTTTCGCGGACTTTCCGCGAGAGATTGCAAAATTATTTGAAGCCGCACGGTCCTTTGTGAAGGACCGCACAGCCCGTAGGTACCTTCCGCAGAGAGAAAGTACCTCAAACTTGGGTAATCAAACCACCGATGGCACCTCTGTTATGTAGAGTTTTACCTTTGTTCGGCGTAAACGCGAAAATGCTCAAAAAGAGTTCGAGCGCCTGCTGAAAGCTTGGCTCGCGCTTGCTGAGAGAGTTTATCTGACCAGCGCTTGCAGAAAATTTTGTATTGCTGCTCGCTGGCAGAACACGGAAGTACCGCTTGCTGAAGACTTGGTCACGCCCCAAAATTCTGCTGACCGCCTGCAGAAAAGTGCGAATTTGCGGACCGCCTGCCCCCGACGATTATCTGAGCGTATGGTCACCCGACTAATTTGTTGAGCCAGTGGTTTGATTTTTAACAAACCATGGTTGTCCTCGCCAGTGAAAACCGATGCTTGTCCTCGCCAGAGGCAGCCGATTGTTGTCCTCGCCTGAGGCAACAGTCCGGCGTGAGGCATCCATCAGAAATGACTGGAGACTCGGCGCCTCACATGGCCTCGCCCTATAAATTCGTGTGGTTAAGCATAGGTTTTTCAAACAAAATCTATACGCCCTTTTGAATTGGTGTGACCAATTACAACCGACCCCGCCCCTTTTCGAGGGGTATATAAGGCGGCCGATGTCGGCATTGTCGGTCACTCACCTCTGCTAGCCGCCGGCCACTGAACCACCGAGAGCTCCGAGAAAAGCGAGGATTCAAGATCTAAGGACCTGAGGACCTGATAAAGGACTAAGAAATAAAGCCGAAAGACTCCTATTTCTCGAGTACCGAGAAGCCAACAGGCTCTACCTCGAGTACCGAGAAGCCAACAGGCTCTACCTCGAGTACCGAGAAGCCAACAGGCTCTACCTCGAGTACCGAGAAGCCAACAGGCTCTATTTCGAGTACCGAGAAGCCTAGAGGCTCCACATATCTCGGCTATCGGGAATCATAGAGCCTAAAAAGCTTTCATACAGCACAGGATGTCGCCAAAAAGCGTGCATCCATCGGAAGAGTTGATCCCAAGGCCAAAGAGATCAGGGATCAAAGAGAGGCTGAGGCCTCTGAGCAGCGCGAGGAACGGCTAGAAGGCAATCGTGCCAGAAAGCCGAGGCGAGAGCAAGGCAAACGCCTGAACAGCGAGAAGCAAGTCTCTCGAACTCGCCAGCGGCTTGCTGCTCTGAGGACCTCAGAGTCACAAGAAAGGCATGATTTTCGACTCGATGACGACCGAGTGAGACACGCTGAGGCCAGATCTCGGAGACGGCCGAACAGCACGAGTCCTGACTCGGTGATATGCGGTCGAGAAACGCTGAGGCCAGATCTCAGGAGACGGCCGAACAGTGCGAGTCTCGGTTCGACTGCAGTCGAATGAGGACTGAGGCTTCACGAAGAGCTGAAACTGGTGCAGCGCACTCATTAAGGCTCAAGTAATCGTGCTCGACATGTCCATGCTCGACAGACATCTAGGCGGGTAGATCTCCATCTCGCGGCATTGAACTATGATGCCCAGGTCGACTCGACCCATCCGAAGGTGCTTTTCGGAAAGACGGATGTCATATGCGGCAAGTGTCCAGCCAAGAAGTTCAGAGCCGAACTTCCTGACATGTGCTGTTCCAGCGGCAAAGTCAACCTTCCGCCTCTACGTAAGCCGCCTGAGAAGCTTCGTTCATACATGTCCGGCACGAGTGCTGTGTTCAGACATTTATTGCAGAACATCAGGAAGTACAATGCGTGCTTCCAGACGTCCTCTGGCACTAGTTGCCACGCCCGACATTGAAGAACAGGGCTTCGTGCCAACGTTCAAGATGCAGAAAAGGTCTATCAAAGAGCTAAATCCCTCTTCCTTATGGCGTTAATAGCCCCCAAGTTTTTGCAGCTGTACTTCGTCTGCGACGAGCAGCTGCAAGCGAATTAACGTTGCGGCATTATCGGTGGCATAGTCGGAGGTCGTGTTAGAGCTGCAAAGAATGCTGCATCAGCACAACGACCTGGTGAAGGACTTCAAGACCAACCTGGACTAAATGCCTACAGACGAATCGTTATCCGTGCTGACAGGAGATGCTGGTCAGCATGAACGACGCTTCAACGCTCTGTCTGTAAGCGAGATGGCGGTGTCTTGGTTGGCGAAGACGACAGCCACAAGCCTGACGTTATCATCCAAAAACGTTGCGAATCGTTGCAGCGCATCTCTGAAACCCATAGGTCGTAGGATGCCCTGCAGTACCCACTCATGTTCTGGGATGGGGTAGACGGGTATCACTTCGAGCTATGGCAGAGGAATCTTAGCACTGGTGCCCTCACCGATAAGAAGGTATCGGCGATGGATTTTTATGCGCATCGCATGATGATAAGGTCCACGTCCTTGAATCACGTCGTGAAATGTCGCCAACTGTTTCACCGTGGACGTGTACCCCAAGATTGAGAGTGAACGGCTCCTAGCGTGGCAATCTAGGAAACACCAGCCAGACCTGCTCGGGTGCAACACCAAATAGGCGGCTGGGCGGGGCGAGTAGAAATCCAGGAAAGAGCCCTGGGTGCCTGCAGTTTATAGCTGTATTTATACAAAAGATGATTATATAATGTGTGGCAGGCCTCCCTGGGACAACTGTAACACGGAAACCTGAGCTCCCTGGCGTTTCTGCGGTGGAAACACCATCTGTTGTGGTTGGGGATATACTGGCCGGAGCTGCCGTTGAAACCGGACGTAGCTAGAGGAAACAGTTTCCGGCACCATCTTATGATATTCTCGGGCCACAACTGCGGCATCGACATTCTCGTGAGTCCCTCGAGCAGCGTCTTCACTCAGTAGCACCGGCCATAAAGCCGGATGGTGTGCATGTTTTTTGGAAACACTGCCATCAACCGCTGCTTTGTTTTCTCCATTCCTGGGAAGATTCTTCGGTCGTGATGGGAGTTTCGTCCCTGATACCGCTTAAGATAAATGTTAGGAGTTCGATAGCGTCCATGCCTAAAATTCTCAATTTATTCCAGAAACGAGTTGAGTTCAAAGCCGGAACCTCAATGTAAGGTTCCGGCTGGTTCCTTAAACCTGATAACGACCCTGGACCAAGTTGTTGTACTATTTTGACTACGGTAATTTGGATAAATGTCTTAAACAACAGTCATAACCCAAGTTCCCCAACAATATTTATTTTCAGAATTCAATGAGCAAATGAAACACATAAAAGTACAGCGAGCGAATACAAAACTGTGATCCGGATAAAGATGAAATGAATAGAAATATGAAGGGAAGAAACAGTAAAGAAACTTGATGCCATGAGATTACTGTGTCTCACATACATAACTTCACATATTTATACTGTTTCTTAATAGAATTTCTAGCAATTATCAATGTTTTATGTTAGTGCATTACTTGATAATAAGATAAAAGTTGTAGGGAACCAATGAAATTTATACAAGAACACTTCAATACTTCCACACTTACCTCTCAACCGGCTGCATCATGGCGTTGATTGCTCCACATTAGTCACTCCCAATTTTCATTTTTCACATCACAAGTTCCCGAAATTCTTTCGTACGTTGAGTGATCCTGTCCCAAAAGCTATTGCCGTTTCAACCAAGTTGTTGCCGTGCAAATACAAACGTGCTGCACATGAGAGCCTCGGAGAGTGAACATTTTTTACAAGAGGCGGCATGCCTGATATAAATATGAGGGTCCCACAAAGACTTTACGTCTCTAAGTATGGCGGCGTTTCACCCGTCCAAATTTAATGAGGGGCCTTGAGAAATGCTGGTTTTTGCCATTTTTGCGCAAAGTGGATTTTTGGAATTAGCGCGTCGAATTACCCCAGAAAAGCGAAGAAAGCCACAGCTCAAGGATTTGAAGAACCGCTGCCTTCAATGCTCACGGAAACTCTGATTTCTCTGCGAGATCAGAGATCAAGTAACTCCTGCAAACCTAGTCTTTTTTCCGCGTGCAAGATTGCTAGTGGTGTATTATTTAAGGAGCGCTGTAAAACGCTGTAAACCGAACCGGCAAAGTGAAGGAACTTGCAATCTGCGGAAGGGACAGGCACTGGCGATTTGAATAGTAAAGGGGAACGCGGGACTGGCCAAGTCTATCGTTTGCATTTGGTCGTAAGTGTTGCGGTTCTCGACCTTGTCTACAGCGTAAGCGGTCGTGAACGTCTTGAAACTTTCCCATGATTTCGCGTACAACATTAAGGCCTATTGATTGCACCCAACAACGGCCCAGGTTTGAAACACGACGATGTTAGAGATGAAGGCATTTCCAGTAAGGTAAACCGGGATCTTATGCGTGCGCTGATAGAAATGGCTGAGTTCTGGTAACTTTTTTTGACCAAGCAAACGATTATTGAGTACTCTTCGTGTACGATACAACCTTCAATCTATCAACTTCTCAAACCTCCTCTGTAGCCTGGATTTAGCATTAGAACAGGCGCTATCATAAATCCTCTTTGACTCACTCACGGTTCTCCGCCAAAATGGAATCGACAGCAAACATTGACAACATTATTCTTTAGCACATTTTGGTATTAAAGAATACATCTGACTCATTTTAGTCTTGAGTGCCGTTCGCAAATTGCGTCGCTCAATTCCTTTACTGATCGGCTGTCTTCTGGTAATCCTCTATATAAGCACAACTTGGTATCAAAAAATATTTGACTCATCTTAGTCTTGAGTGACTTTCGCAATATGCATCGCTCATTATTTTAGACTAATCAGCTGTCTTCTGGTAATCTCCTTTACAAGAACACTCCGATCAAAGAATACAGTTGTGAAAGGAGTGATAATAAGAAGGGAGGAGCACCTTTTGGCGATTGCAAAATGTTCACAATTTCTATGAGTACGGAGGAATCCAATATGTTCATACGCACATGACCGTCGATAGATCTTCATAATCTTGGAAAAACTTGCAAAAAATTTTCTCCCTAACCTCTTACTCGATGAGCGATACATGCGACGGATTAGGGCACCACGAACATTTCCTTGTATGCTTTTGCACAGCAATAGTGGGTTGAAACATTTGGCTCGAACCTCAATCAATCTCTTGCTCAGCTCTTTCTCAGGCAGAGTAAAGTGCTTGTGATCTGCTGACGTCGATTTCGACTCTACAGCTATTCATCAAAACACTCAAGCTAAGATTTCTTATTTTCAATGTAGTTGTTCTCCATCACGGACTAGCAAAAAAATAAATCGTTCATGCACTGAAAACTCACAAATGACTCGACAACGTCATCCTGGAAAGCCGGATGCACGGAGTATGATCACAACTCTCGGAAGACCGTATCGCCGCCAGCTACTTGGCACGAGGGTGTCACATCCTCAGAGTTACCGTTTTCCCAGTGCGACACATACGGTCGTGAGTACTCCACAATGAAATTGAATGAGGCATAGTTGAGAAGTAAGTAATAATGGTTAGTAAAGTGATAGTTATTTTGTTCTAATCGCTTCTTCTTTATGAAGGCACACTGGAAAAGAATACGATACAGACTAGCATAGAGAATTGTTGTAAACGACTGTGACACTAATTTTTCAACGTTCTCCTGCTCTACTGCGCAAGTGTTGATCGATTGGGTAATTCCACTGCCTCACAAAGTTGCCGAATAAATGGCGTAACGTCATAAAAGTACGCGCAACAACGAGTAATAGGGTACTTTTTTCTCACTGTAACTACCATCAGGTCAAAGATATTAGGAAGGAGACCAAGAGTAGCTTTAAGAAGATTAAATTGATTTTGAAGATTCTTTGATAGCAGTGTGCTTGTAAAGGAGATTACCAGAAGAAGCCGATTAGTCAAAAAAAATGAGCGACGCATATTGCGAAAGTCACCTGAGACTAAAATGAGTCAGATGTATTTTTTGATACCAGAATGTGCTTATGAAGAAGATTATTAGAAGATAGCCGTTCAGAAAGAATTGAGCGACGCATTTTGCGAACGGTACTCAAGACTAAGATAAGTCAAATATAATTTTAATACCAGAAGGTGTTTATAAAGAAGAATGTTGTCAATGTTTGCTGTCGATATCATTTTGGCGGAGAATCATGGGTGAGTCAAAGAGCGTTTGTAATAGCGCCTGTTCTAGTGCTAAGTCCAGGCTACAAAGGAGGTTTGAGAGGTTGATAGATTGAAGCTTGTATCGTACACGAAGAGTACTCAATAATTGTTTGCTTGGTCAAAAAAAGCCACCAAAACTCACAAGGGAAGCGTCAGGACTCGCAGTGGAGTTTTCCAACGAAATGTATATAGGTTTGTAGGTCCTGGCACGCAACTTACAAAACAGCCTTCCGTATCTGCCAATCGGTCCTCCGGGCCGAGATATAAGCGTTTGAATTTCGCGAGATCGCGCGTACTTGTGTTGACGCGCGATCTCGCGAAATTCAAACGCTTATATCTCGGCCCGGAGGACCGATTGGCAGATACGGAAGGCTGTTTTGTAAGTTGCGTGCCAGGACCTACAAACCTATATACATTTCGTTGGAAAACTCCACTGCGAGTCCTGACGCTTCCCTTGTCAGCCATTTCTACCAGCGCACGCATAGGATCCCGGCTTACCGTTATTGGAAATGCACTCATCTCTAACATCGCCCTTTCTGTTTTAGACCTGGACCGTAGATTTTCACCGGTGCAATCAATAGGCCTTATGGTTGTACGCAAAATCATGGCAAAGTTTCAATACGTTCACGACCGCTTACGCTGTAGACAAGGTCGAGAACCGCAACACTTAAGACCAAACGCAAACGATAGACTTGGCCAGTCCCGCCGTTCCCTACTTTACTATTCAAGCCGCTAGTGCCTGCCCCTTCCGTAGATTGCAAGTTCCTGCACTTTGCCTGTTCGGTTAACAGTGTTTTACAGCGCTCCTTGAATAATACACCACTAGCAATCTTGCACGCGGAAAAAAGCCTAGGTTTGCAGGAGTTACATGATCACTGCTTTTGCATTGAAGGCAGCGGTTCGGCAAATCCTCTTGTAGGTTTCTTCGCTTTTCTGGAGTAATTCGACGCGCTATTCCGAAAATTCACTCTAAGAACGTGAAAATAGCAAAAACCAGCATTTTCAAGGCCTCTCATTGAATTTGGACGGATGAAACGCCGCCCTAGTTAAAGACGTAGATTCCTTGTGGGACCTTCATGTTTACATCATTGCGGCATGCCGCCTCTGACGGTGTGAGAGATATCGCAAGCTCGTCTAAGTTCGTGTAATAATAGCTTGCGCGCACCGGTTAAGGGCAATTTTCTAGGCAGGAGCAGCATGCTGTGCGCTCGGACCTGCTCCGTTCTCATGTGTGGGGTGCAAAGCAACCTTCCATATAAAATTTTCGAGATGTTCGATTTAGCCACTGCCTTTAAGGACGGCGATTTTGTAATTATTCCAGGTGACCTAATATAGCCATAACAAGATGCTATTTAGACGATGGAACTTTGTACCGCCCACGTCTGGACAAGAGTTCGAAAAACAGTAAAGCCCGCTAAAGAGGACCTAGGCAGACACCGCAGAAACAGCTGCGATTTCTAAGAGCATCATTACTCGCCTCAAATGTGATCTCTTTAACTGCACCGTCTTGTAAGTTCTCATAAAGACCCATCTCGGGCGACATACTTTTTGCCTCCACGGACCCTGTACATACAAAGGCCCATTATAAGTAGTGTTGGAGGACCCACAGATAGGATAGCATGGTTGCTCAACAAAATTCTTTTTTGTTTTTTCTCGCTTCTCAGACATGCTTGGCTCATCTCGAAACCAACATGTTTTTGGATAGGTTGCGAAATGCTAACTTGACACATGGTATCATGGAATCCTTCGATGTGAATGTACACGAATGAGTTCAACGAGGGAGCCATGCAAGCAATCTTTTTTCAACATAGCAAATGCGGCAGCAGAGTGCACCATGCGTGTTGTGTGACTCTCTCGTCGCGCTTCGACCAGCGTCTTCTTCTCCTTATTAGTACCGCCGCTTTTCCTAATATTTGGTGGCAGTTTCTGCAACTGGCGTCTAATCAGAACAACGTCATAACCAGGGCCCGGCACGAGCTTGTCAAATGACAAGCTGGAAATCGTTTTCGGCCAAAAAAGCAAAGGGGAAATCGTTTTTGCGGGGTCTGGGGCGGAGCCCCGGAAGAAAAATTTGTAGTCATGATGGCAAAGTTATCTTAACAAGCCATCTTATCTTAGCGTATCTTAACATGTTATGTGCCTCAACAGGCGAACACCGGAGTTCGCGCGCGTCAAACCGCGGCGTCGCTAGTTACCGCACGCGCGACGTCTCTCAAGAGATGCTATTTGTAACAGCATACATGACTAGTTCTCAGTGTATGCGAAACGATATGGTACCAAATTTTGTAAGCAAACGGAGAGAGGCTAGTGGAAACATAGTGTGAAAAATTATGAAAAACTTATGTGAACGAAGCGAGTAATAAGCATTTTTTCCGAAAATTTTGCAATATTGGTAAATGAAGATGTGAATTCAAATGACTCGTTTGCAACGCGCAGACGACGATATGGTAGGAAACTTGGTAGGTATATGGACACAAGCCTGTAGGAGTTAACATAGGAGTTTCATTGAAAAATTATGTGACTGAAGGCTGTGGCAAACTTTTTTCTGAAAATTTCCCGCTACCAAAGAAATGGAAAAATGGCTCATTTGCAACGCAGAGGCGACGAAATCGCGCGGGATTCGGTGTGTATATGCGCAGTAGGACTAAGTAACAAAGTATGAAAAATTATGAAAAACTTATGTGAATGAAGAGTTTCCTCAACTTATTTCCAAATTAGCTTGTCATTTGACAAGCTAGTGACAAGCTGAGCTTGGCAAAACTCTCACTTCACATGATTTTTCCAAAATTTTTGCATAAATCTACTCTACGCCTAAACATTAGTATATACTAAAAATTTGGTCCCAAACCTCCTCCTCTCCCCATTGCTAGAGGCAAAAATAGGCTCAGCACCCCCTTTTCCTAAGGAGGAAAGCGCGCTCCAATCGATATGCGCGACGGCGTTTGTATAACCGACGTTTCTGTAATGTTTCTCGTTTCTCTTGCCTTTTTCTTTCCCTTATAAGGATTTTCCGTCCATTTTAGATAGGAAACTCTTTCGCCATCAGTTTTAGGTGTAGTTGTTCGTTATGCATTGTTCATTATCATTTGTTTTGTTCATTTGCTCTTGAACTTGCTTAATGGTT